TAAATTTAAAAGCCCTGGAGCCCTTCCTTGTGAGTGATCTGCAGTCACTGAGCCTCATGGCCAAATTGTCACAGGCTCTGGATCCCAGCCCCACAACCCATCCTTGACTGCCTCCTTCTCGCGCTGCTCAGGGTTTCCTCTCACTGTCCACGGGTTACAAGGTCCAGTTTGGCTGCACCTATGAACACCTTACCGACAACACCTGGAGCACCCTGGGGAAGCAGATGTCAGACTGAAATGGTGTGAACTCCTATCTGAAACCTGTCTGGTCTCCTGCCAGCATCCACAAGAATAAAGACAAGGAACCTTGAACAACACTGCCTCCCCAAGACATACCATCATCTGATGATGTGATGTTGCCCCGCTGCCAGCCTGAACTGACAGGTCTGATTGCTGGGGGCAACCTGTCTCCTTCTGAAGGTCTGGTGTTGGTTGTGGTGGAGGCAGGACAAAGCCTGCAGTGCAGTGTCCCAGCACAGGTAACTCTCAGGCTTTTCCCAGGGACAGGTTGAAATCACAAGGCTACGTAGCAGGGAGCTCAATCAGCACCTTTTTTATTAATATGCATCATAAATAAAGAAATAAATAAAGGCGAGACACCTTGTTCTAACAGGGAAATACAAATTAAATACGGTGCAATGTCTGCTAAGCGATGTACAAGCAGGAGGTAACCTTGCAAGACCAGGGCCCCTTGCCATGTGGAAGCCAGCCCAGGCACGATGCTGTGAGCAGCGTCAGCCCGGCCAAGCCACCAAATACTGGCATGGCCTTTCGTTAACGCTGCTCCCCACCCGAAGGGCAGGTAAAGATCCCCACTTCAGCAGGCGGCATGAACATGGCAAGGAGGGGGTTGACTGGCATTGCTTTTACGGAGGACCCCCAGCATCCCCTTGTGCTTGTGCACAACACTTATATCCCCACCCCATGGCACTGCTCAGCAAAAAAAGAAACCTATGCCAAGGGGAGCACCACCCCTCCCTCCCCAGCTCCCTGGCTCCCTCTGGGAGCACCCCCCCTCCCCCATCTACCTGCTGGGAGCACTGCCCCCAACTCCAAAGAGTTGTCCTAGCCCAGTCAGGGACCCCGCCCTCACCCCCTCCCCTCAACCCCCCCTCCACTGAGCATCCCAGGGCTTCCCAGGTACTGGCTCCCTGCTCAAAATGGAGGGCATGGGGCCACCCCCAAAAGCACCCATCTCCGCACAGGGTGACACTACCCGTCCCCGACCTACGTAACACTGAACATCCACACACCTTCCTCATGACCCCACACACCCCTTTGCTTCGCATGCACACACGTACCCCGTCCCCCTCCCCTGGCCGTGGCGCTGCAGTGTGTCAGGGCCAGGCCATTCAGCCCAGTGCAACCCACTAGGCACCACTACAGTGTG